AAACCTCCTTTACCCCCTCCTTCCAACCTTTTCGAGGATGACCCCTACCCCACCTTCCTTTCCCTACCTGGAGTATACCTGGAGAGAGTTCGTTGGAACCATGGCTAGGGCTAAAAGTAGCAGGTTATAACAATAAATGGAGAAAAAGAAATTGGAATGACTTATGCAGCAAAGTAGCACCACTAAATTGTAGCAGTAGGTTGGTGTGGCGATCTAGAAATTTGAAATTATGCTAGCCGAAATTGGTACCGGATTACTGATGGAACCGGATGACTGATTGCCAGATTAGTGATGGCCGACCTGTGCTACCTTCTACATAAAAAAAAAACTATTTCTAAACTGTTTATTTACCTATTTGTAGTTGCCTACAGTATTTGTAATTTACTACTTTGTAACTACAAGAACACTAATTTACTACTTTGTAACTACAAGAACACTGTAATTTACTACTTTGTAACTACAAGAACACTGTAATTTACTACTTTGTAACTACAATAACACTGTAATTTACTACTTTGTAACTACAAGAACACTGTAATTTACTACTTTGTAGCTACAATAACACTGTAATTTACTACTTTGTAACTACAAGAACACTGTAATTTACTACTTTGTTACTACAAGAACACTGTAATTTACTACTTTGTTACTACAAGAACACTGTAATTTACTACTTTGTAACTACAAGAACACTGTAATTTACTACTTTGTTTCTACAAAACACTGTAATTTACTACTTTTACTACAAGAACACTGTAATTTACTACTTTGTAAATACAAGAACACTGTAATTTACTACTTTGTTACTACAAGAACACTGTAATTTATACTTTGTAACTACAAGAACACTGTAATTTATACTTTGTAACTACAAGAACACTGTAATTTACTACTTTGTACTACAAGAACACTGTAAATTTACTACACTATGTACTACAAGAACACTGTAATTTACTACTTTGTAACTACAAGAACACTGTAATTTACACTTTGTAACTACAAGAACACTGTAATTTATCACTTTGTTACTACAAGAACACTGTAATTTACTACTTTGTAACTACAAGAACACTGTAATTTACTACTTTGTTACTACAAGAACACTGTAATTTACTACTTTGTAACTACAAGAACACTGTAATTTATCACTTTGTTACTACAAGAACACTGTAATTTACTACTTTGTAACTACAAGAACACTGTAATTTACTACTTTGTTACTACAAGAACACTGTAATTTACTACTTTGTTACTACAAGAACACTGTAATTTACTACTTTGTAACTACAAGAACACTGTAATTTATCACTTTGTAACTACAAGAACACTGTAATTTACTACTTTGTAACTACAAGAACACTGTAATTTACTACTTTGTACTACAAGAACACTTTTTAATTTACACTTTGTACTACAAGAAACATTGTAATTTACACTTTGTAACTACAAGAACATATTAATTTATCTTCTTTGTTAAAAAAATTGTTTTAATTTACCCACTTTGTACACACAACACTATTATAATTTACCATGTTATAAGAACACTATTGGGAATTTGCCCACATGATTGCTACAAGAACAATATATGGGGGAACGTTCACCTCTTGCTTTTTGTAATGTTTAAATCTAACTGTTTCCCAAGGCAATCCCTGTGGACAAAAGCACTAATAATAATTTGATGTTACCAGGTTTGAAGACTAACCTTCTCAGGTAAAGTTAGTCCACTGATCTACCCCTCACAACTTTGGGGGAGAACGAACTCCCTCTTTTTTTTTGTATTTTTCTTTCTCTAACAAGTATCCCAACCAGAAAAAGTGCCCCAAAAGGGAAAAAAGTTTCTCTTTTTAACTTTAGTAATGTATACAGGAGAAGGGGTTACTAGCCCCTTGCTCCTGGTATGTTAGTCACCTTTTATGACACACACGACTTAGGGAGGAAGAATTCTGTTTCACTACCCCATGGAGATTTTTTTTTTTTTTTTTTTTTTCAACAAGTCAACCCAAAAAAGAAAAAGTCCCCAAAAAGAAAATACTTTCATCATTCAACACCCTCACCACACTCACACATTATCACTATTTTTGCAGAGATGCTCAGAATACAACAGTTTAGAAGCATACACATATAAAGATACACAACATATCCCTCCAAACTGCCAATATCCCAAACCCCTCCTTTAAAGTGCAGACATTTTACTTCCCATTTCCAGGACTCAAGTCCGACTATATGAAAACAACCAGTTTTCCTGAATCCCTTCACTAAATATTACCCTGCTCACACTCCAACAGATCGTCAGGTCCCAAGTACCATTCGTCTCCATTCACTCCTATCTAACACGCTCACGCACGCTTGCTGGAAGTCCAAGCCCCTCGCCCACAAAACCTCCTTTACCCCCTGTCTCCAACCCTTTCGAGGACGACCCCTACCCCGCCTTCCTTCCCCTATAGATTTATATGCTTTCCATGTCATTCTACTTTGATCCATTCTCTCTAAATGACCAAACCACCTCAACAACCCCTCTTCTGTCCTCTGACTAATACTTTTATTAACTCCACACCTTTTCCTAATTTCCACACTTTGAATTTTCTGCATAATATTTACACCACACATTGACCTTAAACAAGACATCTCCACTGCCTCGCTGCTGCATTTACCACCCAAGCTTCACACCCATATAAGAGTGTTGGTACTACTATACTTTCATACATTCCCTTCTTTGCCTCCATAGATAACGTTTTTTGACTCCACATATACCTCAACACACCACTCACCTTTTTTCCCTCATCAATTCTATGATTAACCTCATCCTTCATAAATCCATCCGCCGACACGTCGACTCCCAAGTATCTGAAAACATTCACTTCTTCCATACTCCTCCTCCCCAATTTGATATCCAATTTTTCTTTATCTAAATAATTTGATACCCTCATCACCTTACTCTTTTCTATGTTCACTTTCAACTTTCTACCTTTACACACACATTCCCAAACTCATCCACTAACCTTTGCAATTTTTCTTTATAATCTCCCATAAGCACAGTATCATCAGCAAAAAGTAACTGTGTCAATTCCCATTTTGAATTTGATTCCCCAAAATTTAATCCCACCCCTCTCCCGAACACCCTAGCATTTACTTCCTTTACAACCCCATCTATAAATATATTAAACAACCATGGTGACATTACACATCCCTGTCTAAGACCTACTTTTACTGGGAAGTAGTCTCCCTCTCTTCTACACACCCTAACCTGAGCCTCACTATCCTCATAAAAACTCTTTACAGCATTTAATAACTTACCACCTATTCCATATACTTGCAACATCTGCCACATTGCTCCTCTGTCCACTCTATCATATGCCTTTTCTAAATCCATAAATGCAATAAAAACTTCCCTACCTTTATCTAAATACTGTTCACATATATGCTTCAATGTAAACACTTGATCTACACATCCCCTACCCACTCTGAAACCTCCTTGCTCATCCGCAATCCTACATTCTGCCTTACCTCTAATTCTTTCAGTTACAACCCTACCGTACACTTTTCCTGGTATACTCAGTAAACTTATTCCTCTATAATTTTTACAGTCTCTTTTGTCCCCTTTCCCTTTATATAAAGGGACTGTACATGCTCTCTGCCAATCCCTAGGTACCTTCCCCTCTTTCATACATTTATTAAATAAAAGTACCAACCACTCCAACACTATATGCCCCACTGCTTTTAACATTTCTGTCATGATCCCATCAGTTCCAGCTGCTTTACCCCCTTTCATTCTATGTAATGCCTCACGTACCTCCACCACACTTACCTTCTGCTCTTCTTCACTCCTAAAAGATGGTATACCTCCCTGGCCAGTGCATGAAATTACCGTCTCCCTTTCTTCCTCGACATTTAAAAGTTCCTCAAAATATTCTCGCCATCTACCTAATACCTCCTTCTCCCCATCTACTAACTCCCCTACTGTTTTTAACTGACAAATCCATACTTTCCCTAGGCTTTCTTAACTTGTTTAACTCACTCCAAAATTTTTTCTTATTTTCATTAAAATTTCTTGACAGTGCCTCTCCCACTCTATCATCTGCTCTCCTTTTGCACTCTCTCACCACTCTTTACCTTTCTTTTACTCTCCATATACTCTGCTCTTCTTATAACACTTCTGCTTTGATAAGAGGTAATAAACAAGAACAAGAATTACTAAGAAGATAGAAGAAAACCCATAGGGGTGTGTATATATATGCTTGTACATGCCTGTGTAGTGTGACCTAAGTGTAAGTAGAAGTAGCAAGACGTACCTAAAATCTTGCATGTTTTTTTTTTTTGTTTTTTTCAACAAACTGGCTGTATCCCACCAAGGCAGAGTGGCCCAAAAAGAAAAACAAAAGTTTCTCTTTTTAAATTTCGTATTTATACAGGAGAAGGGGTTACTAGCCCCTTGCTCCCGGCATTTTAGTCGCCTTTTACAACACACACAGCTTACAGAGGAATTCTGTTCCACTTTCCCATGGAGATAAGAGGAAATAAACAAGAACAAGAACTAGAAGGAATTTAGAAGAAAACCCAGAGGGGTGTGTATGTATATGCTTGTAAATGTATGCGTAGTGTGACCTAAGTGTAAGTAGAAGTAGCAAGACATACCTGAAATCTTGCATGTTTATAAGACAGAAAAAAAGACACCAGCAATCCTACCATCATGTAAAGCAGTTAGTCATCTGTTTTACTTTGCTATACATACCCTTCATAAAGGAGTTCCTTTTAGCAATGAAGGGCTCTTGTTCTGGGGAATTGTAGTTACCCTCCATTTCAGTCATACTTCGTTTCCTGCCCTTCTTATTGTGGCTAGCTGGCTCAGTGGCTAATATGTTGGTCTGGAGTTTTATGACTCTGATTGCGGGTTCTAATCCCGCCTGTGGTATGATTTAGTTGCTTTTCCCCATGGTTGTAATAATTGTCATGTTGTGTTGAGTGATCAGCAGTGGTCCTCATATATTATTGGTTGTTTGCAGGTAATGGGATTGGTCAGCTCTATGGTACAAGAGAGTGTACAGAATGTAAGGGTCACTTTTGAGGTGGAGCCCACCAGCAGAGTTGCACTCATCCCTAAAGTTCCACCTGTTATCTTCGGTGGTCAGCATCTGGTGTTATATACTAGGCTGCCTCCTACTACCACTGTAAGTTTTTAGTGATAACCTGTGTCCCTAGGTAATGACTGAGCATGAATAAACTTTTTTTTTTTCTCCAAGGATTTAAATTTTCTACCAGAAATTGTTTTGCATGACTGCTTCTATTGTACTGTTTGTAATTGCAGAGTTAGGCAAGATTCCACTGCCTAGTGTTTGTAGTACATTTGTTTTGTGTGCACACATTCAGGTGAATTGATGCTGTATGACTCATTTGGATTTAGTGCATTCTTGTGTATTAATAATAATTATAATAATAATTGTGTGCAGGTGAAGGGAATAAGCATCAAGGGCAACATTGGATCAGCCGAGCTGAGTGTTAGCGTTCAGGGCAGTGATGTTGTTACTGTTCATGACACCGAGATGAGTCTTCACCGCCTGGCAGCACGAGCACAGATCAACCAGTGGCAGCTGGATGAAGAAGGTTGGTGTCTGTCTTCTTAGTTCTCTTATTAAGTGCAGTAAAACCTCTTGTATCATTCTTTGTGATAATGCTTTTTTAAATTATTGTGATTCAGATTTTCCTAGTTTTTAATCTTCTTTGGAATTGACTCAGCATTTGCATCATAAAATTGGAAAGAAGTTTAACTCAGGTTGGACCCTTAACCCTTTGAGGGTCTTTCTAGTACTATTATGCCTTCGAAGCCTGAGTCAGTCCTCTAGTTCTATGCCATGAGTTCAGCTTACTCAGGTAAGCTGTGAGCAGTAACTTTGGGCCTAGATATGAAAGAATGGGTCTATGCGGTAAGTGTGCCCCATATAAAAGAATTCCTGAAGCAAGCAGTGCATAATGGAGGAAAAAACTGTGACTGTATTTTTGGTTTAAAACAATGATTCTTGGTTTTTATTGTTATATTCTTGGTCTTGTATGGTAGTGGAAATAAATTATTTTGATTGGTTTCAAAGTACTGATATTCCAGAGTCGTACAATACACGTCCAGCTTGTCAGTCTAATACGTGCCCACACCCCTCAAGGGAGGTTCCTTGATGTGGGTGAGGGGCTCTTGATCTAGGGAATTGGATCTGTGCTCCAATTCCCTGAATTGAGACTGAATACCTTCCTTCCCTCCCCCCGCCCACATGCACTATATAATCCTGCGGGTTTAGTGCTCCCCGTGATTATAATAATAATAATAATAATAATACGTGTCCACAAATGTGCTGACATAATTTATACAATTTTTATAATAATGCAGTAGTCTACAGAACAGTAAATCTGTTTTTTGTGTGAATAAAAATTCAAAATGGAAAGCAAGAGTAATATAGGAGAGGCCTGAGAATGTGACTAATGAACTGAGGAAATGTTGCTTTAGTGCCAGGAATATCTACATGGGTTATTCTGGATCCTATTTTGAAATTGGCAATTCTTGAGTGGGCGAAATTGCCGATGCGATTTCGCCCACTTTGCGAGAGCGTAATTCTGTAAGTTTTCCATTAAATTTCATACTTTTGGTCTCATTACCTTCGGAAAAAGATTCCTTATTAAATTGAAATTTATTTATTTATTTGCAAGTATGTAGTTCATTTCATACGATTTTAATTCTTTTTTAATTCTTTGACCTTGAGAGCAAATTTGAGATTAGCCTAGAGAACAAATGGACTTGACAGTTAACGTTTTTAGAGTCTGTGCTGTAGTTCTATGGTTTTGAAGCCAGTGTCTGTGCCGTAGTCCTGTGCCTTGAGCTCGGATCACTCAGATAAGCTGTGAGTGATAAATTTAGGCCTAAATATGTGGTATGTGTGCACCATATAAAAAATCCTGCAGCACACAGTGCATCATAAAAAAAAAAACTGCTTCAGTGTTTTTTTTTTAAACAGCGACTTTGTGGTGCATTTTTGTATGGTCGTATTCAGTTTCTTGGTCTCATTTGATAAAATAGAAGATATATTACAGAAATAGAGATGACTCTGACTGGTTTCAGGCCTGAAAATTACTTGAAATTGAGCTCAAATTAGAGGAAATGTTCCATTTTTGCTGTTGTTCAAGAGTAAACGTATCACATAATGCATCCAATATATGTCAACCGGTGGGTCTAATATATGTTCACAAATGCACTGATATTATTTATACAATTATTGCAATATTGCATTACAGTAAATCTTCTATTTTTTGGTGTGAATTAAAATTCTTTATGTGAATAAAAAATCAAAATAGAATTCATGTGTAAAGCCTGGAAATGTAACTAATAAACAGAGGCAATGTTGCCAGAAAGTCCATGTTTTTTCTTAAGGCCAATGTGGGTAAATATTTCAAAAAATTTGTTATTTTTTTGGAAATTAGGGGAATTTTTGTGAAGGTTAATAAAACATTAGTCGAGGGCAAAGACGAAGTTTGTTGAGGGTTTATGGTCCATTTACGAATGGATTAATGTAGATGACCCCTTTTGAAGGCAATTACATCTATTAAAAGAAAATTCTACTAATTTAAAGGGGGAAATAGCTTTTTCTATGATTGGACACCAGCAAGCCGTCATGACGTTTTAGATAGGAGTGAATAAGAATGATCTTGGGAAATGAGATCTGTTGAAGTTGTAGAGCAGAGTTAAAATATTGAAGGATTTCAGGGAATCCGGTATTATCATATGTCGGACTTGATTCCTGGAAATGGGAAGTACAATGCCTGCATTTTAAAGAGGGGTTTTGGGATATTGGCAGATATGAGAGGATTATGTTTGTGTATCTCTATAATTATGCTCTTAAAAATGTTTATATTCTTTCAGAGCACCTCTGCAAAAGCATCATGATATGTAGGACGTGTGGGAATAATGTTGAAGATGATGAAAGTATTTTCTCTTTTGGGGATTTTCTTTTCTTTTTTTGGTCCCCTGCTCGTGGAGAGCGACGACTTGTTGAAAAAAATAAAAAAAAAAAAAAAAAAAAAAACAGAGGAAATGTTATTTTAGTACCACGAATGTCTGCATTGTTTATTCTGGACTTTATTTTTAACCCTTTCAGGGTCCAAGGCCCAAATCTGGAGTCACGCACCAGTGTCCAAGAATTTTAAAAAAAAAAATTTGTTATTTTTTCTTATGAAATCGTTAGAGAATCTTTTTGTGAAGGTAATAAAACAAAAAGTACGAAATTTGGTGGAAAATTGACGAAATTATGCTCTCGCGAATTTTGATGTGTCAGCGATATTTACGAATCGGCGATTTTGCCGACTTTGACTCCCATTTTAGGCCAATTACATTATTCCAATCAACCAAATTCTTAGCTATTTCACTAGTATTACTTCTATTCTATCGATTGAGCACAAGAAATCGCCAAGTCAACTGTTTCAACTACAAAATAAAGTGATCGGAAATTGTTAATTTGGCCAATTTAACACAAGTTCAAAATATTCCAATTTCAAAATGGGTCCAGAATGAACAATGTAGGCATTCCTGGCACTAAACTAACATTTCCTCTGTTCATTAGTTATGTTTTGAGGCTTTACAAATAAATTCCATTTTGATTTTTTATTCACATAATGAATTTTTATTCACACCAAAAAATAGAAGATTTACTGTTATGCAATACTGTAATAATTGTATAAATATCATCACCATATTTGTGAATGTATATTAGACCCACAGCTGACGTGTATTAGACGTGTGAGGTCGTTTGTTTACTCTTGAATATCGGCAAAAATTTAACATTTCTGCTACTTTGAGCTCAGTTTCAAGCCATTTCCAGTGCTAAAACCAATCAAAATCATCTCTATTTCTGTAATATGTCTTCCATTCTATCAAATAAGACCAAGAAATCGCAAATACAACTATAAAAAACATAGGAAAAAACACTGCAAAGTTGCTGTTTTAATCGAAAAATCATGATTTCATTTTTTTTCTCTCATTATACACAGTATGCTGCAGGATCTGTTTTATGTGGTGCACACATACCACATAGATGTATTCTCTCATATCTAGGCCCAAATGTACCACTCACAGTTTATCAGAGTGAGCTGAGCTCATGGCATAGATCTACGGTTTGGACCCTGAACGTAAAGCCGTAGATCTACGGGACGGACCCTGAAAGGGTTAAATTGGAATATTTTTAAATTTGTGCAAAATTGGATAAATTACCAATATCTGATCACTCTATTGAGCTGTTGAAATAGTTGATTGGGTGGTTTCTTGTGCTCTATTGATAAAATGGAAAGCATACTAGTGAAATAGCTGAGAATTTGGTTGACTGGAACAATGTAATTGGCCTAGAATAGGACTCGGTGGGCAAAAATCATCAATGCTTAAATATTTCCGACAGCAAAATTCGTGTTAGAGTAATTTTTCCATCAAATTTCATACTTTTTCTTTTATTACCTTCAGAAAAAAATTCTCCATCATTTCATAAGTGTAAATAATAATTTTCTTTGTTTTTTTTTTGGGGGGAAGAGAGGGGGGATAGAATTCATGGATCCTGTGGACAAGTTTAAGATCTAAGTCCCTGAAAGGGGTAAAAATAGGAGAAGAGCATTATTAGATGGAGAGTTGGAGGTATTGAGATGAAGGGAGTATTTTGAGGAACTGTTAAATGTTGATGAAAATAGGGAAGCTGTGTGATTTCATGCATTGGGCAAGGAGGTATAACATCTTGTAGGGGTGAGGAGGAGCCAGATATAAATAAGTGTAGGGGAAATGTGTGAAGCTGTGGGTAGAATGAAAAGGAGTAAAGCAGCTGGGATTGATGGAATAAAGACAGAAATCTTAAAAGCAGGTGGGAATGTTGGAGTGGTTGGTGCTTTTATTTAATAAATGTATATAAACCTAGGTAGTAAGTTAGTAGACAGCAACCACCCATAGAGGTACTACTGTCCTGCTAAGTGATTGTGTAATGGAAGTTGTGTTTCAGAGTGTACTTCTCGTCAAAACATGGAAATAGTCACACTGACTTTTACTAGGTTAACCCTTTCGGTCGCATATATACATCTTACGAGCCAGTGTTTTGGACGTATTAACACGCATAAATTCTAGCAGCTTCAAATCAAGCAGGAGAAAGCTGGTAGGCCCACATGTGAGAGAATGGGTCTGTCTGGTCAGTGTGCACCACATAAAAAAAATCCTGCAGCATGCAGTGCATAATGAGAAAAAAAATCTGTTTTTTTTTTTTTTTTTTATTAAAACGCCGACTTTAAGGTGTATTTTCGTATAGTATTTATCATTGTAGTAGGTTGGTAGACAGCAACCACCCAGGGAGGTACTACCGTCCTGCCAAGTGAGTGTAAAACAAAAGCCTGTAATTGTTTTACATGATGGTAGGATTGCTGGTGTCTTTTGTCTGTCTCATAAATATGCAAGATTACAGGTACCGTCTTGCTACTTCTACTTACACTTAGGTCACACTACACATACATGTACACGTTTATTTATACACACTCATCTGAGTTTTCTTTGATTTTATCTTAATAGTTCTTGGTCTTATTACTTTTCCTTTTATATCCATGGGGAAGTGGAATAAGAATCTTTCCTCCGTAAGCCATG